TCCCCCACCCTGGGGACCCCCCCCCGGTGTCCCCAACCCATCCCTGTCCCCTCACCTGAGCCTCACCTGGCCCTGTCTGTTCCCGACTGTCCCGCTGTCCGTCTGTGCCTGTGTCCATCTGTCTGCCTGTCCGTGTGTCCGTGTGTCCGTGTGTCCATCCCCGTGTCCATTCCCCGTGTCCGTCTGCCCTTCTCTGTGTGTCCATTCCCCGTGTCCGTGTGTCCGTCCGTGTGTCCGTGGTGTGTCCGTGGTGTGTCCGTGTGTCTGTCCCCATGTCCGTGTGTCCATCTGTCCGTCCGTGTGTCCGTGTGTCCATCCCCGTGTCCATTCCCCGTGTCCGTCTGCCCTTCTCTGTGTGTCCATTCCCCGTGTCCATGTGTCCATCTGTCCGTGTGCCCATCCCCGTGTCCGTGGTGTGTCCGTGTGTCCGTGGTGTGTCCGTGTGTCTGTCCCCGGGTCCGTGTGTCCATCTGTCCGTCCGTGTGTCCGTGTGTCCGTGTGTCCGTGGTGTGTCCGTGCTGTGTCCGTGGTGTGTCCGTGTGTCCATCCATGTGTCCATCTGTCCGTCCGTGTGTCCATGGTGTGTCCGTGTGTCCGTGCTGTGTCTGTGCTGTGTCCATGTGTCCATCTGTCCGTGGTGTGTCCGTGTGTCCGTGCTGTGTCCGTGGTGTGTCCGTGCGTCCATCTGTCCGTCCGTGTGTCCGTGGTGTGTCCCTGGTGTGTCCGTGTCTCTGTCCCTGTGTCCGTGTGTCCATCTGTCCGTCCGTGTGTCCATGGTGTGTCTGTGTGTCCGTGTGTCCGTGCTGTGTCCGTGTGTCCATCTGTCCGTCCGTGTGTCCGTGTGTCCGTGCTGTGTCCGTGTGTCCGTGTGTCCATCTGTCCGTGGTGTCTCCGTGTGTCCGTGGTGTGTCCGTGCTGTGTCCGTGTGTCCATGGTGTGTCCGTGTGTCCGTGCTGTGTACGTGTGTCCATGTGTCCATCTGTCCGTCCGTGTGTCCGTGCTGTGTCCGTGTGTCCATCCGTGTGTCCATCTGTCCGTCCGTGTGTCCATGGTGTGTCTGTGTGTCCGTGTGTCCGTGCTGTGTACGTGGTGTGTCCGTGTGTCCATCCATGTGTCCGTCCGTGTGTCCGTGCAGGGTCAGTTCCGGGCCGGCTGCAGGAGCTGCGGGAGCGGCAGCGGGGGCTGCGCCAGGCGCTGGGGCTGCGCCTGCGGGAGCTGCGGCGCCTCTGCCTGCAGGAGGCCGTGAGTGACCCCCAGTGACCCCTGAGTGACCCCTGAGTGACCCCCAGTGACCCCTCAGTGACCCCCAGTGACCCCTGAGTGAACCCTGAGCGACCCCCAGTGCACCCTGAGCGGCCC